TGGTGGGTCTTCTAGACTTAACTACTTGTAACCCAACAATAATTTCAAGAAGGATTCTTAAAGAAAACAAATGAAATACATAAGCAAAATAATAACACTCTTTTCTGGCATTTACAAAGCACTTTACATATGTATATGTATATGTATATATCTATATCTATCTATATCTATATATATTTATTTATATATATCTATATCTATATATCTATATCTATATCTATCTATCTATCTATCTATCTATCTATCTATCTATCTATCTATACACACACAATACATATATCTTCACCACAGAAGATAGACAGTGAACAAGGAAACTGGGACTTAGCCAAGTCAATGCTTCACTGAAAGTAACATCCTTTCTTTATTAATCTATAACCTCTAAGGTCACAGTTCTGGTCTGGAGGACTTCATGAAATATTCCCTTCATTGAAGTGGTTAGCTTTCCTTCTTAAACATCATTAAGCAGAAGCCTGTTCATCTTGCAAGGTCTCCTGTACTTGGCGCCTTGCTAAAGAAAGGAATAGTAAATTCTTAAACAAATTACTTCTTAAAATAAAGTGGATAGTCTTTTGAATTGCAAATTCCTTCACATGTAGGATTATGTTGATAAATGTTTAACAACTGGCTCTCAGAAATATGTATGCAAGAATAATATATGCCAAGCAAGATTCTAGGCAAGGTTAGTAACATTTTTTTCTACTTTTTCTTAATTCTACACCATCAACAAAATAAGAAATCAAGGCCTGATTTATGTTGTTTACCCACTTTTGAGATGTAAATACTGACACTGAAAATTTAACAATTAACTCACTAGCTAGTTTGAGCTGGCAACATCAAACTTTTGTATGTTTCATAACAACATGAAAACACACATCTTACTCAACAGCTACCTATTGAATCTCCCATAATAATACAGATACTAGGAATTTGAAGTTCCACAGTCAAATCATCCTAATTCTTAGTCCGTGAATGGACTGGTTCCAGCTCCCATTTGCTCCCCCAAGTCTACATCTGGATTCCAGCATCTGGAAAAATAAGTTTAAAAATCCTTAACTGTCTCCCTAATTCTTCAGGGAAGGGCCATATTTTCAATCAATCAACAAACATTTATTAAGCTGGGCCTGGAGTCAGGAAGATTCATCTTCCTGACTTCAAATCTAGCCACAGACATTTACTAGCTCTTGTGACCCTGGGCAAACTACTTTACCCTGTTTGTCTCAATTTTCTCATGAATAAAATGAGCTGAGGAAGAAAATAGAAAATTATTCCAGTAGCTTTGACAAGAAAACCCCAAGTGGGTTCATGAAGAGTTGGGCAAGACTAAAAAATGACTGAACAAATGTCCTGTGTGCTTCACACAGTGCCTGGCATATAGTAGGTGCTTAATAAGTGTTCATTGTTAGCTTACCCAATCTTCAGAGACAGCGTCCTTCATGGACAAGTGCATTTTGGATATCCTTTCCTGTTACCAGTAGCAAAAAGCAAACAAACAGAAGCTGAAAAACAAGTAATCAAAGACATACACACACACACACACACACACACACACACAAAACACAAAATCATCTTGCATTTTGTATATGCCTAGGGCAGTCACCAGTATTGACAGTGGTACCAAGTCTCTTGTGACTCTTTTTACTGATATCTTGACCTCTCTCTTCCAATTTGCCCTAGATTCTCTCCTGTCTTTTGGATTCCTTTAATCTGGGGAGCTTCTTCTGAGCTTCCATAGGGTAGGTGGTGGGAGCTCTCCCATTCCTGAGCTGGCCATTCTGTTATGATCAAAGTGTCACACAGTTGATGAATAAGCATTTCTCTCAGTAAAATGTTCAGAGCTCTACCCTCCTGGCAGATACAATCTCTCTACCATCACTCCTAGTTTCCAAGTCCAATCATATAGATTGACTTTCTTCAGACTACCACTTAGAAGTAAGTTGATGGTCTTTCATACAATTTTCTGTTATTCTCAATTGCCCTGTGGTTGGCAAGGGAGTAAGGACCTTGTATTGCTCCTGCCTTCTGCCATTGGTGCTTCTGGATGGTACAGACCCCCCGTGATAAATTCAGGAAGGTTGTTGTCTAGTTTGACTGTAGTTTACCAAGTTGTGACATGAAAGTATCATAGATTTAGGGACAAAAAGGACCGAACCCAAAGGTCTTCTAGTTCAACTGCCATATGTTATAGATAAGGAAACTGGGGCACAGGGGGTTCATAAAGTCATAAGATCATAGATTTAAAGCTAGACGGAACATCAAGGTCATCCAATTTAAACCCCTAATTTTATAGAGAAGGAAACTGATCTCCAGAGAAGTGAAGTGATTCAGCAAAGGTCATACAGATAATAATCACTTCCCTGTCCTGCTAATAATGTTGTAAGAAAGGGAGGGCAGCATGTTACAGTGGAAAAAGTAACCGCTTATGGAGTCAGAGGATTGGAATTCAAATCCTGCCCCTGACAATTATTGCCTGTGTAAATTGTCCTTAGCTTTCTGTTTCTACTTCTGTGAAATGAGGAAGTTGGACTACAACAAGGCTTTGTAATCTTTCTGTGTGTGTGTGTGTGTGTGTGTGTGTGTGTGTGTGTGTGTGTGTGATGGACACCCCACCCCCTTTGAAATCTGATGAAGCCTGATGAGCTTAGCACCCAGGCCTTAATGTAGCCACATTGCCCCTTACTCTCATAGCCAACACATAGCCTTCTTTAGTGATACAATCCAACATTCATTAAGTTCTTACTCTGAACAAAGCACACTGCTTGGCACTAAGGGTATGAAGACAAAAATCTTCTAGTAAGGGCTGGGAAGAAAGGAAGAAAACAAGCATTTACTGAGCACTTACTATGGGCCAGGCACTGCACTGCTTCTTCTGAATTCCAGGGTGTGTGAATCTCATATATTAGGTTGATGCCTCATGTGTTTCTCATGTCAAGATCTAGGAGTCTATAGCCTTTTCTTTCTTTCTTTCCTTCCTTCTTTCTCTCTCTCTCTGTCTCTCTCTCTGTCTCTCTCTCTCTCTCTCTCTCTCTATTTCTTTCTTTTTCTTACTTTCTTTCTTGAGGATAGAGAGAACATCTCAGATTGCTTTGTTGAGACTCATGCCCAAGCCTCTGTCTGGCTCCCAAACTTAGGTCACGTGGTGATTAGCCAGCTCTGCTTTGTTTGTCTTTATCACTTCCTGTTCTGCATCTCCAGGACCAAGATGACTGGGTTTCATCATGGATGAGAGCTTAAGGATGGTTTTTTTCTTCCCTTCTTTTAACACATTTCAGTTTGTAATTCGATCTAATTCAATAAACAGTTTTTCAGTCCCACCACTACTAAAGACAAGTCCTAGTGTTAGGTACCATAGATATAAAAACATTAAACTACATAGATCCTTCCCTCAGGGAGCTGGCATTCTACATATATACTTTTATAGTACTCTAAAATTTGCCAAGTACTTTCCTTAGGACAGTCAGTCAATAATCTTGTTGTGAATTTGCCATGAACTGTGCTAACCATTGAGGATATAAAGAAATACAAAAACAGGAGAATAGAGACTTTTGTTTTTGTTTTTGAATCCCTAGACATGTGCTTAGCATGAAATCAGTGATCAATGAATGCTCTTTCATGAATGTGCATAATCAATTTCTATGTCTCATTCTCTTCCTCTTCTTCCTCCTCCTCCTTCTCTTCCTTCTTCTCCTTCTCCTCCTCCTTCCTTCTCTCCTTTTTCCCCTTCTTCTCCTTCTTCTTCTCCTTCTCCTTCTCCTTCTCCTTCTCCT